GAGAGTGTCGAGGAATTCTATACCGGAAAGGTCATAACCATGCACGTGGGAGCCGCCGGCGGCGGTTCTGCGGATACATGGGCACGGACATTTGCCCCCTATCTGACGAAATACATCCCCGGCAACCCTGAAATCGTGATCGCCAATCGAGCGGGCGCCGGCGGCCTGATCGTGGCCAACTACCTACAGGAAAGCGCAACGCGCGATGGGCTCGAGATGGGCACCCTGCAGCGCAACAACTTTCTTGCGCCCCTGCTTGCCGTGGAGGAAGACGTTCCGTTCGATCCGACCAAGGTTACCCACCTCGGTAGCTTGAGCCGCGAAATGCAGGTCTTGTTCACATACGGACCCGAGCCGATGGTCAACACCCTGGAGGAGGCGCTCAACACCCCGCTCATCCTGGGCGGCACAGCCATCACCGAGGAAAATGTTACCTACCCGATGCTTGTCAATGAACTGGCCGGCGCTCAGTTCGAAATCATCAGCGGGTATGGCTCGAGCGACGAGACTTATCTTGCCATCGAACGTGGAGAAGTCGATGGGCGGGCTGCGTCGTATGACAGCACCCTGCGTGGCAACCTCGAAAGATGGACGAACGAGGGCCTGCTGCACATCTTCATGCAGTTCGGGTTCGAGCGCGATCCCGCCTTGCCTGAGGTCCCCACAGTAATGGAGGCAATCGGCGACGACCCCAATGCGGCATCCCTGGTTCGACTGATGCTCATACCACAGGAGCTGGGTCGGCCGTTCGTCTTGCCCCAAGGCGTCCCCGAAGACCGGGTTGCAGCGTTGCGCGAGGCGTTCGAGGAGGCTGCACATGACCCCGAGTTCCAGGAGCGGGTAGCTGCATTCGGCTCCTCCATTCAGCTGGTGGATGGCGAGGAAATACAAGCCATGTCCGAGGAAATCATGGCCACCAGCCCCGAAATTGTCGAGCGTGTCCGAGACCTTCTGACCGAATAGGTATCCACAATGAGCCGGCGAACCTGCTTCGCCGGCTCTGCCCGTGATTGTACGCGCATGCGTCGTGGCAACCCCCGCCAAGGTGGTGGGTGGCGGGGGTTGGCGTTCGGCGCCAGGGAGTTATCAATTGGAAGCGTATACCGATTTCGGGATGCTGGCTGCCGCGGGGGACGCCCTTGTCATCATCCTCACACCCGAGCGGCTCGGTTTTTTGTGCATAGGCGTGCTGGCCGGCCTTGTCATCGGAATCCTGCCAGGCATTGGCGGCCTTACCGGCTTTGCCCTTCTGATGCCTTTCACATTCACAATGGAGCCGTACTCGGCTTTTGCGATGCTGCTCGGGATGGCATCGGTTACGGCAACCAGCGACACCATTCCTGCCATCCTCTTCGGTATTCCGGGAACCGCAGCATCACAAGCAGTCGTTATCGAAGGGCGACCGATGACGGAACGGGGCGAGGCGGGCCGCGCGTTGAGTGCGGCTTATTCGGCATCGCTGCTCGGCGGACTGTTCGGTGCCCTGATACTCGCGGTGTCCATACCAATTCTGAGGCCTTTCGTACTCGCGATCGGAAGTCCTGAACTTCTTGCGTTGGCGGTTCTCGGCATCTCGATGGTTGCGTCCTTGTCGGGGAGTTCGCCGGCCAAGGGTATTATCGTTGCAGGTTTCGGCGTTGCGCTT